AGAGTAGGTGCCTTGGGTCTATGGAAAGAAAATGCAAGTGTTGAATTCGGTTGGTGGGACCTAGGTTGAGAAATGACTCAACCCATAGTAGTTTTGACAACTTTGGGTTAGCCTAATTTCCAACCTGAGTTGACCCAAGGAATGGGTCAACTAGGGTTGGTTCATTAGGTTATAGGGAACCTAATGCAACCATTGATTTTATCCAATTTTTCTTAGAGTGAAGTTTGGCTTAAGAGAGACCTCTCTTTGGACACTTGGGTTAGGCCAAATGGCTAAACCGAGTAAGCCCAAAGCCTTGGGATCTCAAGGAGGCTTCCCTAGACCTAATGGGTCATCCCTTGGGTTTGAATGTGTGTGTGTGTGTGTGTGTGTGTGTGTGTTTGGTCAAACTTATTTGACTTTGTTAACCTAGTTGATCTAGGGTTAAGAATTGGGTTCATTAAGTTCAAATTGATCATATTAACTCAATGGAAGTGGTCTTAAGTCAAGAGGAGTTCATTTGGTTTGAAATAAGTGTTTAAACTCTTAAAGGGCACTTTGGTAAACCATGGTTGACTTAGCTAACCATGTCAAAACAAAGGATGAGTTTGGGTCCAATGTGTTTCTAATGATATTTAGGATTCACTGGAATAGGTTTTGAGATTTGATATGACTAGGCCATATTAAATTTTGAGAAAAAGACCAAAAATCTCCTTTAAGAATATTTTGGTCATTTTGACCCCTAATTAACTCTGGGTCAAACTAGGTCCAACAAAGTGTGATTTACCAGTCAATATGTCATATTATAGGGTATGGACATGATCAAGGATCTTGGGGAAATCCACCAGTCAAATTCCATAAGGTGGAGAGTCCAATTGCATAGGTCATAAATATTTAAAGGTTTTGCAACCTTTGGAAATCAATTCAGTTTTTAGGGTTAGAGACCTCAAAATAAACACAACTTTGGAGGTTTGACTCTAGAGACATTCTTGATCAATATGAAACTTAAATATAATGAATCGGATGTCATTTAACTTGATTTCAAAGTGATTGAAAAATTACCCAAAAAGTGTTTTAGGACTTAGGCTTTTGGCCTCATGTTTTGAATTAAAAATCTGAGTTCGAATTGGATATTGGGTTTGATTAATTAAGTTTTGGAATATATAAATCAATTAGAGTCAGATGAATGATTGGATAAGAGCAAGGTTTGATTGAAGATCAGATTGAACTTTGATTGTAGACAGGATAGGAGTCTAGGGTGAGAGTTGGATTAAAGGCTGGATTAAAATTTGATTGGGGTCTCTATGATTGATAAGTGGACAACTATCTACCATAGGATCACCAAGGAGTCTAGATAGGTCTTGATGATCTGATTAAAAACGAGGTCAACATTGACCACATATAATCCTGCAACTATATATCATCACCCTACTATAGTTTGCTAACCACCATCATTTGACTATGATCACCTAATCATTATCCCCATACTACAATATCCTACTAGTTATTGCCTAAATACATCGATGCTTGTTAAATTTGATGCCCTTCGTCATCAATATTGTTGATGCATGCAATTCCATACAAATCTAATGTACGCCCTCAACACAAACTTTGTATCTTGACATCAACACCAAGATTTGTGTTTTTTTTTTTTAGGTCTTTGGTCTCCCCTTCTCAACGAATAATGACAAAATATACAATAAGAAATCCCTTAATGATAACTCCCATGCCACATGGTTCTTTTAATTTATGTTTTATATATTATATCAGCATATTCCTCAATCATAAGATACATTGCTATTTATAACTGATAATAATAGTGACATCATTTCAACTGAGCCATACCTCATAAGTTTTCTCACATCATTTCAACTGAGCCATACCTCATAAGTTTTCTCTTTTATAGATTTTTTCATATAAAATTTTTGGTATCTCTTATAGTACTCACTTATCTATGTCAATATTGGATCTTTATGAAAAATTAAGATGTTACATTCATACTCTAATATTGGAAATTTTTTGGCACACAATATTTTAGCATTGTTTAGGGGAAATGATTTAGGTTGGGGGGCAACCCTTACTATAACATTGAAAAGTCATTCATGCTAGCAACATAGACATAATTATAATAGGAAAAATACCTTTGTTATATACTCTTCCATTAGTTCTAGAAGCAAGACAAGATATGAGGACAACATTGGTTATAACCTTAAAAGGATAACATCGATCCTTGGTTGGTATTAATAACACAAGCCCCCTTCATTTGGTCATCCAGTATTGCATTAGTTCTATAAGAAGTGGATTAGCCAACCCTATAACTATAGAATTGAAATAAAGATCATTTAATATCCTGGGCATGATTGTAGACAGGTAAGTCATTCCATTCATTATCATTCTACACTTCCAAGGCAACCTTATGGATAACTATCTTACATAAAGTTTCCAATAAATATAAGAAATTTCATTAAAAAAAATTGAGTTTCAAATTCTACATATGATCCATAGTTGGATTTACATTCCCTATGCAAGGTTATAGTTGTGACCTCAAAAGGATAGGATTCATGTCTTTGCTATTATTTTAAACTTTTTAACTTATTAAATTATATTTTAAATTATTATATTTAAAATAATTATTTTAATATTAATTAAAATATTTGTTATAATTTATTTGCTATTATTATAAATATTTTAATAGATATATATTTAAATAATAATTTGAAATATTTTAATCGATATATCAATTAAAAACTTTATTTAAAATATACTCGGGTTGAAGTCCATCGGCGGGCGGCGACCGGGCGGTGGTCCGACGAAGGCGGTCGGCGGCCAGGTGGTGGTGCTAGAGCTCTTGAAGCTTCAGATCTCTCCCTAATCTCCAGCCAAGGTCCCCTTCATGTAGAGAGTGGGGGTCTATTTATAGATTTTCATGAGTGGCACACCCCGTAATTTTAGAGAAGATCCGAGGTTGGTTCAGAGTGCTCCATCGGATGACTTATATTGATTCCCCGATCATAGAGTTTTTCAACTGTTTTTGTGCCTTAACGATGTTAGAATTCAGAGATCTTGGTCTCGTTGGATTTGTCTCGCCGAGACGCTTGGTTTGACTATAAGCATGCCATATTTGGAAATTATTTTATTGTCCAAATAATAATTTAACCCTTCCAAATGTGGTCTGGGCCCCTGATTCGGACCCATTTGGGCTTGGGTCGGACCAATTTTGGTGTTGTTTGGTTCGTCTCTTTGAGATGTTCAGTTTGACTATAAGTTTGTTGAAATTGAAATTCAGATGTTCCCAAATTTAATTTTGAAAGTTTCCAACTTGAATATGCCTCGAGATTCATCCTTGATCAAGGCAATTTTTGAGGACCTATCATTTTTATTATAAAAAGAATAATTATTATCATTTACAAATTAACTATCCTACAAGCCCTTCAAATTTCAACAAAACATCCATTCCCTCCCCCATCTACTGAAGTTTAATTATTACCATCATGTTATTTTCCTTGCACATTTACAAATAATAATAATAATAATAGTTTAGTCATTAACTTTGAGAAGATTGAGCTCAATAAGCCCAGTGGGCTCCAAATCCTGCTCGAGCTCTATTCGCAAGCTCGACTCGCCAGCTCTTTAACGAGTCAAGTCCGAGCCGCCTCGCGAGTCAACTCGACTCGGTTGCACTCCTAACTCATCAATCTAGAATATAAAGCGCATTGAGATGCATGATTCATAATTATTCCTATTAAGTATGCATTGATTCATTAAAATATGGCTTTCAAAAGAGAACCACTTAATATAAAAACCCAGAGGGAAGCCACGCACGAGCACTCTTTACCGAGTTTTCCAGCTGCACATCATATGGTCACAAGACAAAGGACAGGTTTAACTCGTTCACTCCTTCCAAAGTTCTTGAGATAAGTAAATGTTTTTCTTTCTGTTCTCGAGATAGTCTGATTACGTCTTGCTCACTAGCCTGTAATAGTTGAAGTCAGAATGATAATACTATACGATGCCCCCTCCATTTTTTTTTTTTTTTGGGTTGTAAAGTATACAAATGAGCCCATTGAACAATATATGAAGTTGATTCTTTGAGTTTCAGTGGTAATTTTACGCTAAATGGCAAGCTACTTTCCTGTGTTTTTCCACTTTCATTGAGGATATGAAGGATTTTAAACTTCTGTTTCTGTATTTCCAGAAATACTGTACTTCTGCAGGGATGTATTTATTCTATTAATGTGATGGAAGTGGGAAGCAAAGTGAAAAATCCTTGGTGAAAACTTTACGAGGTTCAAACTTCTTGCAATTCAACTAGTTATCTCCATACAGAACTTAGTTAAAGAATTTTTTTTTTCAGAAAATAATCTGCAATCAGCAAACCTAAGGGCCTCTCCAACCAAAAATCCCAATTTTCACTCCAAAATATAGTGAAACATAAAAAAGATGTGATTCATCTCCAATCTAACTCTATTTTACTCGCTTCTGCGAAGGTAATGGTCTTTCTCCTCTTTCGCATGTTTCTTCTGCAAATCCGATTGAGACAGAAAAATCGCGTAGGTGAACAGTGCAACAACACCGATATTGGCGTCGCACTGTTCAGCCCTTCACTTATTAGCGCTTTTTTGGCCGTTCGAATGGATCAAACCAACTACGCCTTACAGTCGTTTGGAGTTCGGCTGGAGACGCCCTAAGTAGCATTAAATTTCTTTTGAAAGAACTGCAGAATCAAGATTTGAGAGAAGAATGAGCTTAGAAGCTCATAAGGAACAAAGAGTGACGAACTTTTTGATGTCTTATAAGAACTCAATGACCAAGCTTTTACTATAATGAAGATGCTATGCAGAGACCTTAGGAAACAAGTATCCAGAGATGGATCTTGTAATTAACCAGCAACAGAAGTGACTAAGAAAGGTCTTTTCAAAATGTACATTTTTAAAAGCTTTAGCTCTATAAAGCAGTTCAACTTAATAATTTCACTTGTCAAGTACTAGTTAAAAAGGATCTGTAAAGGCATCAATCAACACTCAACTTAGTGGAGATCTCTGTGGAATGCCTTTCCTTCTGCTCATATTTGCTGTCAGCTCCTCATTGGCAATGCGGCTTGCAGGTGCTGAACTGTATGGGCCACTGCGCTTCCTGTAAGTTATTTCCGTTCTAAGAAGATAGCTCAAATTTTCTGAATCTGATGAAGCCATAGTCTCATCACCTTCAACAACAGTAGAGTGAGTTGTCTCATTGATCTCATCTTCCCCAGCATAAGCTTCCTGTGGGATGAGGAAGTCAGGCCCCAAGTGCAGTGAATCACATCTTCTTAGATATGTAGAAAGATCATTTTCCTGGCTCAACACATACTCTACCTGCCAAATAGCTGAATTAGCTTAGAACTTTGAAAGATTATGAAACCAAGATGAATTTTTTATAAACTTCTCATGTTATGTTATTCTTATCATAACTGTGAAAGATTTTCAAATTATAAGTTTAATGCATTGTGGTAGTTCGAAATATCCGTTTAGAATATGTTGTTTAGGAGTGTATCTGCGTTTGCTAGCTGTATCTCTCAGGAATTAGTAAAAGGTGTGAAGTTCTGTGTCCTGGATATTTTCTAGTATTTAGCCATAAATTTTGAATGCTTATGAAAAGCCTATCAAACATCTATTTATCCACATATATTTAGCAGTATTTTATCTAATTTGGGCTTCGTTTGGGATGACTTTCTTAGTTCTTCTTAAAACAGTTTTGTAGTACACAAATTTTAATTTTTGTACTACAAAACAGATTTAAGAAGCAGTAAGAAAGCAATCCCAAACGAAAGTTTCATTTGTGCTTGCTTTCATACTAGAAAACTAATTTAAATAGTAAGAAAGTCATTCCAAATTAAGCCTTATACATTATTTCGAGCGGCTTTTTTACTGCTTAAAGTAGCTTTCTAGTATAAAAATTTTAATTTTTGTACTAAAAAGTTGTTTTTAAGAAGTAGTAAGAAAACCGTCCCAACTTTCTTACTACTTTCTAAAGTAGTTTTTAATATAAAAATTTCTTGTTCATGAAATTTTTATACTAAAAATTTACTTTAGAAAGTTATTAAAAAGCTATCACAAATAAAGTCTTAGATTCAACTCTTACTAAGAATACATCTCCAGTCTAAAATGCTGAAGGTAAAAGTTCTTTGTTAATCTGTCTTGTAAGAAATCAGTTGCTCCATAGACTGAACCATCTATAATTTTTTATGACGCATATTGTTATCAAGCATAATCAACGTACTAATTAATGATTCAATTTTATCATTTCTCACACTTCAATTACACATACCTTGCAACCCAAAGAGCAGTGGATATAAGGCTCTTGAAGGCTGCGATCACAGGATGTGCAGAAATTTCCTGAACCCTTGAACTGTCTACTTTGAGGTCTCTTCTTAAGGAACACCACCTTGGAACTGTTGAGAGTGTAAGACTGCAAGTCGAGCATACATTGATAACATCAAAAAACATACCAAATCATCACAGAATTCCAAAATCAAGCTCAATAATCAATAATCTTTATCTACCTGAACATTGGAACAGTCAATGAGCTTCTCAATGTCTTCCAATCTCACAACGTCGTGGTAAACATACCTTCTTACCTGCATTAATCTGTGGCTTCTGTGCGCAGCTACGCAGTGAGGGCATATACTTGTGCAGCAGTCTAAGCAACATATGTTCTTCTCGTTCTTCCTCGCATTCTCATGCACCAAGCAGCCATTGAAGAACCTTTGTGTTTCAAGTGCCTCCAGCCATGATGGTTTCTGAATTGCCTGACAAAAAAAAATGAAATATTTGAGTTTGTTTTCTGCTAATAACAAAAAAGAACTGAGAGTACTCACCATGATCACATTCAACTTAAAGACTGATTTTGTAGATAATAAGGAAGAAATGAAGATTGTTAGGTTCAGTGTGTAAAAGTGTATTTATGGAAGTAAAGAGTTGAGTTCGTGGAGAAGAGGGGGAATAAAGAAAGGAGGAAAGAGAGGAGAAGAACGTGGAATGCTGTTCTAGTGTTTCCCATCATTTTGGCTCTTTAACTAAGGGAGAGCACAGGTCCTTTCCTTGGCTTGAGAGCTGCACTCTCGAAACTAATGCAAGGGAGATGGGGCTTAATCGAGGAGTATTTGATTCTTTTCTCTGTAGCGTTTTGTGAAGTGAGGGCAAGATAGTTGGCTTTTCTTGGGCCACATGATCCCTTCATAATCTCTCATCAAACTACACTGGCTCTTGGGGCACTGGCTAGTTAAGTTACTTGAATTTGCCGTGTTTTGGGAATAGATCTTTTACATTTTATTGTGTTCATTAGCTCATGTGTGAATCTATTATACATGGAAGATACCAATATTCAATTACAACTACATATGAGGCCAAGAGGTAGAGAGATAGAACAGAGAGAAGTTTGATTTCAAATATTCTTTTAAGTGGCCTTAGTTTATATCATATTTAGTTGGCCTTTTAGATAGAAAGAGGGAAGTTAAAATGAGAGAGAGAATGAGAGATTCAAAAATATGGTGAGAATTTTGGGAGGTACCATATTGTATCAAGCATGGATCTTTTGACATATATAGCTCATGTACCATAGTGCAAGATTGCATTACGGATCTTGTGAGAGATTAGGGAAGTGTTTTGTAATCCCAATATTGAGTAATTGGGGCAAATTTTTTCTTGACAAAGAAAAAGCATAATGCATATTTAGTCAATGCAAGGGTTAGAAGAGGGGCAAGGAGTCCCCTTTCCAGAGGTTTACGATTATATTTATTGAAAGTTATAAAATATTTGTAGTTATTTCATTAAAGATGTTTTAAGAATTTATTAGAGTTTTTGCTTGCAATAATTTTTCTCTTTATAAAGGGAGGGGGATGTTATATTATGTGTTTATGAAAGATTAGAGTTGTAATTATCTACAATTAATCAAAGAGAAATCTACGGCAGCAGCAAAGCCTTAGTCATTAATTGAGTGAACTAGTATTAATTTTTTTGTTTTTATACATTGATCTTTTTATGTGCATTTTTTTTTTCAATATGTTTATATACATTTTTCAAGCTTCTTTGATTAGTTAATTAAATGATCATAAATAAGTTTGAATCGAGCTTTGCCATGAATAGCTTGATGAGTGTATTGATTTATTTATAGACCTAACTATCTTTATGTGATGCATCAAAATATATCAAAGGAAGCAAAAAATACAAAAAAGGTTAAGGAAGAGACATCATGTGGATCATGAAAATTAAGCTAAAAGTTTAATTACATGATCTATGGCTAAAGCCTACCGAAGAGACCAATGAAAAGGCCTATAAGAGCCAAATTAATAGCCCAACAAATAGCTCAAATTTTAGAATATTTTAAATATAACTTATATGTGCTATTTTAAAAATTTTATTTTCTATGTAGGGTTATTTATATCCTTCATTAACATATTTTGGAATGGAGGAAGCATTAAAAATAAGTTGCTATAACTCATTCATTAATACCCACCACCCCATATACTTTCTTTTTCTCTCCTTCATTTCCCTCAAAATGTGTTGATCCAAGAGTCTTGTAATGCTTCTAAATATGGGCTAATATGCATTATAATATTTTATTAATGAATGACATTTGAGTAGAGAAGAGTTCTTAATTTGCTAATGATTGGTGGCCTCAAGCATTTTGTCTACTTGTTGTGAGTTGCATAGCTATCTTTCTATTTCCCTTAAGCTACTACTCTTCATAAAAAATGCAAGTGCCTCCGAAGTTGTTGCAGGAGACTCATTATTGCACGATAGTCTACCCGCATAAAGAAACAAACGACTTGCAATGCAGCACCATACTATTGGATCAGCAACACTCGTATGAGGGGACAAAAGGTGTCTATAGGCTTTCAAGTAGAACATTGCACACATTCAAATATAATAACTGATTAATGCCAAATTTTTTAAAACGTCCCCATGCATGCATTGCAGCATACAGAATTCATTATGCAAGCATATCATATGTTGCACAACAAAACAAAATTATCTTACAAGTTTATGTGGGCATTATATATATTCGTATCATATAAATACACAATACATTATAATCATGCGCTAAGGCGCTAAGCCGCTAAGCTACTACATCGAACATGAACACATCATATATGTACATGTTGCAAAATATAAAGTACATCCCGCATACGCATATTATAGCATACAAAGGCATCATGCTAGTACTGAATCACATGCAAATGTGCTATGCAAGCATTGCATCATTATGCAAACATGTTGTGCATGTGAATCATCTACTACTGCATCAATCTAATACGTAACATGTCAAATATCAAGCAATATACAAATATATATATATATATGCATTATCATACACATATGCATGTGATATGTAACATATATCATGAAACTGTAGCATTCAAAAATGCAAAATGCATCATGTTGTGATGGTACATCGCTTTATAACACAAACATACTATGCACTCACATGTAACAGAGCATAAATACATCATGCATACATATTATCTAATATGCGAAACACAACTCGTAGCAGTACCAAGCTACATCGGCATGCGAATGCGTCATGCACTACATGCAAACTAAATTAGCATGCAAATGTATCATGCACACAAATAGGCAATGCATTATGCATGCAGGTCATAAAAGTATATTATACATTATACTGATACATTAAGCCATCATGTTGCATATTAATATGTTATGAAAACATGATTAAATAATGCACAAAATGTAAAAAGTCAGCATACACGCATATATGTGATTAAATACTTACATGGGCCTGACGAGAGTGAAGTGTACACACACGTAATATATGAGGATGTTGTACGGGTCTGGAAATGAACCTAAGTTTGAGCTTTATCCTCTTATGTGAATAGGTAGGAGTTGACATGACTAGAACTATTAAACAAATATAGGATCGTGGCATCAGCCTAGATGTTTATTTTATATATTTATATTAGGCCTTAAAGGATCCTAACAAAGAAAATTCACTAATAAAGAAATAAAATTGATAATGAACCAAATCCTTTGTCGGCAAGTAGACATAATCGACAAGATTCAATCAAATAAATCAAATTGCCCGTGAAAACCCTAGTGATGGCCGTATTGAAAAAAAATTTCAACTAGATGGGACCTTGAAATATTTTAAAAATGCATCCAAATTCTCATAAAATACACTCAATAATATAAATATATAAAATCAAAATTCAATCATCTAAATACTTAAAGAAAAGTAATCCATCCTCTGCAATAATTTGTCGAGGTGAACAAATTCAAAAATCACTTCAGCTCACAAATATCTAATGTCTGGTCAAAAATTCCATAAGGATTCACTTTCAAATAATATCTTGCTATTAAGGACGTGGCATGTGTCATCTAACCTGGGTTTCGCCACTAAATGGTATCACACCGTGGATTTTGCTGCCAAATAGCACTACAAGTAAACAGTTATGACCATGACCCTCTAAACCAGATGGTTTTGCCGTCAAATGGCACCACTAAATTATAGTCATGATTAGAGCTCACATGTTTCATAATGGCTTCAAATTCTTGAGATATGAATCAATAAGATATAATCGATATAGCACAAATTAAGGCCCATGTTAGCTAAGGTGGATTCGAATATGTCCCCTTAGGTAAATAGTCACCCCATGTTTACAAGGTATCCTTGGACGAAGCAACTCATAGCTTTCGATGAGGATCCTTTGGTCAGGTTGGGTCGACTATCTCCTCTGACTAAGTAGACCAGGAACCACGATGGCTTGCAACGACGGAATCATGGGATCTTGATCAGGCTCATCATAATCCCCTCACCATCCTCTTTAAGTGCAAGATGGTCAAATTTTTAATTTTAAATATTAATTTTTAAATACCAAAACTATGTTGCTACTATATGTTGGATACTACATATATGTTTAATGACTATCCTTAAGCAAAAAATCTCTCTCATTACGAGGGATAATTAACTATATGGGCTTGTGCCTATAGGAAATTGAACTCAGATCATAAAGTCATCGCAAAATGAGGGCGAAATCTCTGGGTACTGTCTAATTTAAAATCCAACATGCCTTCTAAAAAATTGCCTTGAAACATAAATGTTAAAACTCTTCTCAAAGACCCGAAGAAAGAAGGGGAGTCCGCAAAGAGATCGAGGCGTTAATTTTTTGAGCCCACATTAGCTTAGAGAAGGTTTTCTTAATTTCTCCCCACCAATTAAAGCTAAGGGATCAAATTTTGGTATAATACCTAAGCCTATCCCAAACACTAGATGTTTAATGTGCATAGCTATTGAAGCTGAAGTGAGTCAATCAAACACCACCTTAGGGAATCCTCACTTTGGTGGTTGAAGGGAGATATTCCAATTGGACTGGCTCTGGTTAGCCGACCCAAATTACATACTCTATGGTTTAGGCACTTGCAAGATAAGGGTGATGAAATCATGGTTGTCTAATATATCTTAAATAGGATCCAACAATTGGTATTGAATATTATGCCAAAGGAACTTTCTTTTGTTGAGAGCTTATTTATTTATCAAATGAAATTCTATTTTAATTAAAGAAGTATTTGGTCGTAGACATTTTAGCAAATTAATTTTCATGCAATTATTATATTTTAAAATTTTAAAAAACTCTATTTTAAATTTATCAAATACTTGGGGGCTTTCTAAATTAATGAGGCTTTTTAAATAAGCTAAGGACATCAAATTGAACACCCAATAGTTTTTGTAGGGCATAGTGTTCATTGTTTTTCTAGTGTGAGATTTTTAATTGCAATTTTATTGTTGAAAAATCATTTCATATGCATGTTAGTTATATCTAGCCTTAAAGAAAATTATGGAATGATGTTTGCATTCTTTGAAATCTTTTCAAAATTTCTTAGAATTGTTGGAGTTTATTTTTATACTTTTTAATTGAAATACTAAGAATTTTGATTACAATATATTGTAAAAGACCCCAAATAATTACGATGACATTTGTGGAGTATTTATTAAATTAATATTTTTTTTTTAAAAAAAATCATTTAAGAAATTTCCATTTATATTTGAAGTGATTTTGATTTCACCTAGGAAAAATAGGGTAAAAAATACCATTCTACCCCTAGGGCATGCATATGGTTGTGCACTATTTACCATGGGCATTTGACACCAATTTAAACTTAAACAAATTATTCTTAAATAATTTGAGATATTTTTATTTTTCTTTCATAATTAATATATTTAATATTTAATATTATTTACATAAAATATCTCAAATAGCCTATTTTCCTCATTTTCAAAAATAGAATAAGAAAATCAATTTCATTGCATGATTTGTAATTTTAAAATCATATTAGCTAGTTTGAGACACCTATTATATATATTTTAAAATAACAAATAGTTCTTTACTAAAATAATTGAGAATGTGTTTTGATATAATAAGGAATATTTGGTATATTAGCTAGCTTAATTTATTCACGTGCTAACTAAATAACCAAAATTTTTTTAATTAATCCTTAATTTCTCTAATAATTCACTTAGTTTAGAAAATCAGGATTTAACCTTTGGCATTGACCCTCACATACTCTTGAAGCTGACTTAAAATTTTCCAAATTTAAAAATTTCAAGCAATTGATTTTAAAGTATTTTGATCATTTTTTTAATTTTAATTTCTTTATTTGTAAATTTCTTATAAATTCATAAAATTAATTTGATAAATCCAAAATAATCAAGATCAAAGTTCATTTGATTTGGTTAAAGCTGTTCTTAGCAAAAAATCTAGTTTAAAATAGTTTGGTTAAAGCTGTTCTTAGCAAAAATCTAGCTAACCCTTGGTGACCTTAGGTTAACTTGAGTTGATTAGCTCTTTAATAACATCATATGTATATTGTTCATATATATTTTACACTTTACAATATACACATGTATTTAGATATCACTTTAGGTCAATGAGTCATTTAATTGCATCTAGCGTCTCCGTATTTGATTGATTTTAATTTTGACCAAATGACCTTTAACTGGGCTTGGCTTGAATGATATAAATTTAATTTAACATTGCACATTTGAGCACATAAGTTGATATATTATGGTTAATATACTTGTTGGTACTTTATCACATTTTTTAGGATAGCTTACACATCATTATAGGATAACCTATCTTAGCCCCTGTTAGAGCCATCTGACATTGAATGCTTATACCCTTAAGAAATATCTAGTGGTCCTTATCTATAATGTTGCATCACTAGCATACACTAGTATTTTGGTTATATCTTGACTTAACTCCTTGATAGTCTATCTATGATTTATTAGTTAGTCTTGTTTAAACTTACCATGCTTGCTTTTTTAGCTTGATCTCTTCCTAACATGGTCATGCTATTTTGTGTGTGCTATATCATAGTCATGCTCTTTTGGGTAAGAACTATCCTAATTTGGTCATACTCTTTTGACCAAATCTCTAATTAGTATGATCAAAATCTTTTAGTTGCATTACTCTAAATTTAGTCATACTTTTTTTTATTAGATCACTCTTAATTTGGCCATACTTTTTTGGTTAAGTATGCTAACACCTAACTTAGGCATGCTTTCTTAGCTAAGTTATTTTTCAGCATGGCCATACTATTTTTGCCAAATCTCTCCTTAGTATGATCTTGCTCTTTTGTCTACATTATTCTTCTTGTAGTCATGATCTTTTGACTAAGTCCACTCATAATTCATCTATGCTCTTTTGGCCAAGTCTTGGCCTAATTTATTCATGCACTTTTGGTTAGGTTTACCATTAACTTAGTGATTTTCCGTTTGCTAATTTATTCCCTAGTATAGTCATGCTCTTTTAGCCATATTTTTTTGGACTTAGTGCCCTTTCATTAGGCATATGAAAGACTTAGCCATACCCTTTTGATTAAGTTTTATCATGACTAGGCCAGACTCTTTTACATGAGCCATTATATTATTTAGTCATACCTTTCGTTTGATATATATATATATATATATATCCAAATCATTCTTTTTTAGTTGACTATTTCTAATTAGATTTTTCCATGTGCTCTGGATATTTGTCTTTCAAAAATTTAAAGCCCATTCAAATACCCAAATGCTTTGAGTAATGTAGTTGATGGATTCTACTATCTTCTTCTTATATTTCTACATTTGGATATGCATGTGTTAAAGTCAACATAAATTGGCAAGGTAGGTTTGCCCCTAGTCCTAAAATTGATTTATGGCTATACTAGGTGGAATATTATTATCGTGTGACTGTTCACCTAATAATGTGAATCATTGAATTATAATCACAACTCATCTTATTATTTAGGTACACAAATAACCTAATACATATTTCCTTAATCAATTTAAAAAAAAAAATGAACCAATTACTTTATGTTATATATAGGGTCTATACTTTTAAATTCTCTTAAAAATTATAGAAAATTATAAATTCTCAATCTTACCGAATCTTATTTTCAAAATTAACTTTAAAAATTCAATAAGATTAAGGTTATAGGCCTTAGCATAATTGAATCCTTTAGGTAATATAGCTTAGTAGCTATATGATTATCACACACATAATTGTAATGTGATAAGACAATCTTAAGTCATTTAATTTCGAGTTAGGGTGTAACTAGATCATTTTGTACAAACCCCTTTTGTTTTATAATTGCGATGCTTGTTTAACCTGCATTTTGTGTGGCTATTTTTATGTATAAAGATAGAGAAATTTTACTTACATTTGCCCAAAATATAACCATATACATTTTTTATTTTATTGGAAATAAAAACTAGTAAAAAAGAAAAGATTCTACCTGGCGTATATATTCACATTGAAATATCATCTTTTTGCTGTCTATCCATTGATCTGTCTTCTATGCCTATTTGTACCTAATTATGCTCCAAAAAATCTTATCTTTCAATAAAGCCTGTGTCATCAACTATTTGTTGTTCTTCTCTCATTAATGATTAATCACATTAATTTTGGCATTATTGTTTTATATTCATTGATTTTTTTTTTTTTTTTTTTGAGAAAAAATTAGGGTTTCCATCATCATCATATATCTTTTTAAACAATATTTCTCCCATCAAAATGGACATGAGTATAGGTTTTCAGGAAGTACCACCGTTTTAAATAATTAGATGTCCATTCATCAGAATTTTAATCGCCTTAGTTAACCATCTATATAACACAACTTGAACACCTTCAAGTTAACAATCTATTCATCAAAGTTTTAATTGCTTCATTTGGGACATCTTTCTTATTATTTTTAAAAGCAGCTTTATAGTAAAAAAAAATCTTGAAATAAGAAAAAACAGTGGCCAAAGCGGTCCCAAATAATGCCTAAAATAAGGTATATGAAAAGCTTATGTTTGAATATTACAAACAAAATCTTTATTTGTTATTCATAAAGCAAGATAGTTTCTTCAACCTTTGGATTTGTGAGAGTGAAGGATGTCATTTGGGGTCATATATATGAAAAAAAATAAAATTTTAAACACTTCTAAATGGTGATTAAGAGAATAATTACTCAATTGACTTAAAAATGAGCATTGAACTGTCTCTTGGATTTGACTTTGAAAATTAAAGGTTTATAGATGATCAAATAAAGGCTGCTTGTAAGTACAAGTGCTTTGTTCAATGCTTTGGATCTTCACAATTAAAGAGTTTTAATTGTCTCAATAGTTTCAACACATTAATGTCTACTGCTATACATTACAAGTGCTTTATTGTAATTGGTGAACCAATAAATTGAGTCAAAAGTCTATCAACCAATACTTGAAGAACAATAGCAAAATAAATAAAAAAATAATAATTTTGAAATTTCCATTTGTTTTTCTTTTCTTTTGAACACAATAAGGGATTTGCAAGTGAAGTTCTATTGCATAAAAAAAAATATTTTTCAAATATGCAAAACACCTTTTGATCCAAATCTCATATCACAACATAAGCATCTTTCATCTACCAAAGATCAATTTAAATATGCAAAATATTTAATGAAAATAAAAGAGAAATTGATAGCAGTCCAAATCGTTGTATAATGGTTCGTTGTTAATGACTTAGGCTTCGTTTGGGACGACTTTTTTACTGCTTCTTAAAACAACATTTTAGCAAAAAAATATTAATTTTTGTAGTAAAACACTATTTTAAGAAGCAATAAGAGAGCTGTATCAAACAAAACCTTATATCCATTTTATGAGTTATCCTCTCAAAATGTTATTGGCTCCTTCACTTTGCCAATGCGAGACAGAGAAGCCTCTTTTAGTTACGAGTAACCCTATACTCCAAATCAAAAAATAGCTATACTAGCACCACAACTATGATGAGTGGCTTTACCCTTTAGAGATAAGAACGAAATGAGCATATACGTGAAAAGGTTGGAGTAGCTCCAATAGAAGATAAGATTAGAGAGAGTCGTCTTAGCTGATTTGGTCACATAAAACAACGGCCTTCCGACGACCCGGTTAGGAAAGTAGAGGCATTAGATTTGACTTATGTTAAGAAAGGTAGAAGCAGACCTAAAAAGACTTTGTTAGAAAATATTAGGAACGATCTTTCTTTATTAGATTTAAGCAAAAATTTAACTTTTAATAAAACACAATGGAGAAAAAAGGATTCATGTAGCCGACCCCACGTAGTGGGATAAAGGATTGATGTTATTGTTGTATTATAATAGTTTTTAAGTTATGGGCGATCATATAACATGATTATTATGATTAATTTTAAACAATTTTGTGTCTAATTTAATTTTCATTAAATTTGCTCGTGTGTGCTGGTCATTTCAGCAGTCTCAACATCTAGAAATAAATAATAATACAAGACTAAAAAAATATAAATAAGATCTTAAGAACCTTGAAGCATATGCCATGGGCTATCTTGTATTGCACGAATCATGAGCTAGTTTGAATTGTTTGGACCGTGGACTAATTTGAATTATTTGAATTGCGGGCTTCTATTTATGATATTCCTAACATATGAATTACTCTTTCAAATTATCCCTGAAATATTAGTACTCATAGTTGCATTAAACATATTTAAATATTATTGACATCTACGAAATTATTTTCTTGATAATAAAAATACTTTAAAATAAGCTGAAATTTATGAGATTAGTAGAAAGATGAGATATTTCACAACTAAATTATTTTAAATTGTATTACTTTATTAAAAAAAGGAAAAAAATTCTTCTCAAATATATTACTTTATAAATATAAAAAATTTCTATAAAAAAAAAACTACATTGACATTTTAATATAATACAAATTATAAAATATACTATGTCAATTAGATTGCTTTTTTATTTTCTCCCTGAAAATAAAAAAATAGAAACAGGCCAAGTCACTTCATGGCAGGCGATTTTGTTTGCCACCTGGTAGGACTCTTTCTAATTTTTTAAATATTTTACTGTTAAAAGAAATTCAAAGAATTTCTAATTCAGGAAGATTGCGGAAAAAATAAAAAAAAAGGGAAGTTTTAGAAAGCCCGCGCTGACTCCATGGTTCCGCTCCCTCCCTCTTGGCATTTGGCAGTTCCTGCTTCCTTCTCGATTCCCCGTCGGATTTTCATGGAAAGTATACGAAATAGGTAGATCAGACCGAGTAAGAGAAACCTTCGCTAGAAGGAGCGAGGCTTTTTTATTTTTTTTCTTTGCGGTACTTTTAGCAAGTTGACATTTGCTGGATATTTCTTGTTATAAAACCAATTAAAACAAGAAAAGAAGGACTTTCAGGTGAAATCAATGGCATTTCCTCGAGGGAATGTTTCTTTTCTTCTTCTCTTAACTCTTACCATCCTGTTCGTCTCTTCCCAGGCCGCATCTCTGGAGAAAGCCATATCAGGTATTTCGCTCTTCTGTATTATTGATTAATGAGATTTTTTCCCGACCCCGGAAGTTTTTTTTTTTTTTTTTTGCTGGTTTCTGATAGAAAGGAGTCGTCTTTCTTGAAAGTTTTTTCAAGTTTTATAAGCCGGTTTCTGCAGGAAGAGGAGGATATGTCCTGGTTCCCTTTAGGAGGTCGGCTGCAGAGGGGCCAGTTGCCCTTTCTGGTAATTCCATCAACAATTCCTCTTTTGTCTTGGCTTCGGAGAGAACAGAGAGAAGAGATCCTCTGAACGATTTCAAGGATTATACTGGGGGATGGAATATCAGCAATCGACATTACTGGGCTGTGAGATTTTCCACCACTTCCTTGAGAACTTTTTGTATCTTTTATGCTATCTCCTGCAACTCTTATTCATGTTCACAATTCAATTTGCAGTCTGTTGGTTTCACTGCTGCTCCTCTCTTTGGCATCGCCCTTACGTGGTTCGTGGTATTTGGATTAGTTTTGATAATTAGCGGTTTCTGTTACTGTTGCTGCCATCGTCCTATACACCCCTATTCTTACTCAGCTTATGTAGTCTCTCTTACATTGCTCATCCTCTTCACCTTGGCTGCAATGTATGAACTTCTCTTCCACATTTCAATTTGAATCTTGATTGGTGTTTATAGTTTCTTTCTCATGATTTTGATTGATAACTGATTAGGTTGTATTTAATTTTTTACCTGCATCCAGCATTGGATGTGTTCTTCTTTACTATGGACAGCAAAAGTTTCACAACAGCAGCTCAGATACATTGGATTATGTTGTTAGCCAGGCAAATTTTACTGTGGAAAACCTTAGGGAATTTTCTGGCAATTTGTCAGCGGCTAAGAGGATCAAAGTGACTAATTTGCTTATTCCAGGTGATATACAGAATAGAATTGATGACATTGTGAACAAAGTTAATACCTCTGCGAATGATCTAGATAGACGGGCATCTAAAAACTCTAAAAATATCAGAGATGTGCTGAACACTGTGTGAGTTTTTTCTTGCATTCCTTTGAAGAATGTCTCTTTAATTTTTCTAACTTGGATTATGCCTTTTTATATATATATATATTGTCATCAGTTAATGTTTTGGATTATGCCTTCTTGATATGATTATCTGCTTTGTTAATGCAGGCGATTGATTCTGATCATTGTCGCGGCTGTGATGCTTCTGTTAGCATTTCTGGGCTTTAGTAAGATCTTTGTTATCTGATAACTAATGCTTCATTATGGATAGTTTTTTTACTGCTTCTTAAAGCAGCTTTTTAGTGCAATAATTAAATTTTTTGTACTAAAAAGCTACTTTAAGAAGCAGTAAGAAAGCTGTCCCAAACGAAGCCTAAATCTGAAATTTTATTGGTGTATAAATTGGCTATTTTCTGTATGAAAAATCTAATTTATTTTTCTTCTTTCTTTTCTGACAGTTTTATCTATATTGGGATTGCAATTCCTCGTCTACATGTAAGGGAGATCTCACACGCACACATACACAAACACCTACCTCTTCTCCCCCTCCTCAAGTCATACTTCTATTTTGTTTTCTTTTCATCTTCTAGTTATCATAAGCTGTTAGTTGACTTTTTGTTATTACTATTTCAGCTTAGTTCTTATTGGATGGTTTCTTGTTGCGGCAATGTTTATCTTGTCAGGTGTATTCCTTCTTATGCACAAGTAAGTTCTGTTTGACATTAAGTGATGATTAGATTGCAAGATACCATTGCAGTAGATTCTATAGTATGCTACATTTGATGGCGATTTATTTACCTGATTGTAGTTTGCGTTTCTGGATATAAAATATGTTTAGCTACTTTTATCCACAATTTTTTATGAATTTGTGCAAATAATGTCAAGTGAGCCTCTCTCTAGAAATTTTGTTAGGAAATATTGCCAGTAGATGTGTGAGTAAAGTGGTCAATAAAATTTGAAAGGTCTTTTGCGATGTTTAATAGGGATCATATCTCAATGATCCCTTCATTTGAATCTGTACAAAACCTCAGCTAATTGATTTACTTGCATGAATCCATCTTTAAGTGTCATCTGTAATCAACCCAAGAAACTTGTAGATTTAGTTGATTCAACACTTCTATGGTTAGTGAGGTTGTAGTCATATATATAGTATATGCATGATATGCATGCCCATTTGTTGAAAGCTTCCTAGTAGACTTGAAAATTCTAAGTGTGTGGCAGAAGTCCGACAGATGGTCCGACGACAACTGGTGGCCGGGAAGAAGTCTGGCAGTGGTCCGACGATGGCTGGTGGCCGGGTAGAAGTCCAGCGGTGGTCCGACGACGGTCGAGGAGTAGATTGGTGGTAAGAGAGATCTCATATATCTCTTTCTTCTTCCTCCTCTTCTTCCTTCCTTTTTGTGAAGAATGGGTATCTATTTATAGATTTTTTGGAGTGACATGATTAGTAAATAATGAGAAGATCAAGGGTAGGTTGGGAGTGTTTCAGATGGACGAACCGATATTGATTCTCTTGATCATGGACCATCGCGCATTTGAGTGTCTTAATGATGTTAGAATTCAACGATCTTGGGCTTGTTGGATTCGTATCGTCGAGCCGCTTGATTGGACTATAAGCATGTCACATTTGAAAATCATTTGGTCATCCAACTTATACTTTGAAGCTTGCAAATGAGCTTCAGACCCTCTATTTGGGCCCATTTGGGCTCAGATTAGATCGAATTTAGTGTTGTTAGGTTTGTCTTTTATAGATGTTCAGTTCGACTATAAGTTTGCTGAAATCAGAGTTTGGATGGTCCCAGAATTAATTTCGGAAGTTTCTGATTCAACTTTGCCTTGAGATTCGTGCCCAATCAATATAAGTTTTTGATGACATATCAATAATAATAATAATAAGCATCATCATCACCATTATTATTTATTATTGCTATTATTTTTATGATTTTTACTATATCTTTTATTTTGGCTTTTAACTCTTATGTATTATTGTTTTTCTTACTCAACTCTCTTTTATATAAGAGGCATGAGTAGTGTCAAAGTGTAGGGATAATGAGAGAAGTTTACTGGCTAATCTTGTACAGGTTAATAGAAAAAAGAGGTTCTGGGTTGAGGATAACAAACCATGCTTGATATTATTAAAAAAATTGCATAGTATTTTTCTTTGGTTAGTTAATTGTCAACAATCATGAAGATGATGACAAGTTGAACTAGGTTAGCTTGGAGGACTTGCAACTTAGAGAAAATCTTAAGCTAACCAATTCAACATGTTTAAGGATACAAAGTGAAGATTTAAAGCTTAGTAGTGTACTTTGTTTATGATTTATTCATTGTAATTGATTAAGATTTATCAAGGTTTTTTGGATGATAAATGCAAATCTTTTTTTTTTTTTTGTTAAAATTGTTTTAAATTATGTTTCTATATTATTCTTTTTTTATTAATTTTGGAAATTAATTGTATTGATTATTTATTTATTTAATTTAGTATAATTTATTATTTACATAAATTATAATAATTAGTTATCATGGCAAAAAAATTATTTCTTGGTAGAGTTAATTACTATTATTAGAAACTTTATGTGAAGTTTCATAATTATATCATCAAAATTATCATTTAGTGCCAAGTACTTGTTATCATATTTATTAAGAATAATTAGCTTATACTTTATAAATTATTTTATAAGTTTAGGATTTTTATGTTTCCTTAAATCTTTATGGTAGAATATTTGAACATCTAAATTTCCATACAAGAAATTTTAATTTTTAAGGAGTGCATGTAATTTGTTTTAAAATGAGAAAATAATCAAAATGGTTCCTTGACTCTTTATGAAGGACTAAAATGGTTCCCAACTATATTAAGAGACCATTTTGGTCCTTCAACTCCTTAAAAAAGAACAAAAAATGTCACACCATGGGAATATTTTGGTTACTTTTTAAGGACTTAAGGGACCAAAATGGTCCTTTAATATAGTTGGGGACCATTTTGGTCCATAAACAGTCAAACAACCATTTTGATTCTTTCCCCATTTTAAAATTAAAGATAGTTATGTAATAATTAAGAAGCAATTATATTATGCTTGGTTAATTTGATGTAATTCCTATCCCATTAGATTTATTGAATTGTTTACCTATAACATTATATATTATATATTATAATTTTTTGATTAGAAATAAATTTCTTTGTTACAAAACTTTAGTTGTTCCTGAGCAAAATAGAGAGCATCGGAACTGACTCTTTCTCCATAAAGGGGACCGATTTCTCTTGTTTCAACCTGACAACGACTAGTTTTTTTAGTTGTTGAAAGGGTGTTTTGGGAAGGTTTTTTAGGGATAATTTAAGGAATCTTTTTTGGTCTTTTTAGAGGATTTTTTTTATTAAAGTGGAGATTCATTTAGTGTGCAATCATTTAGATTGACACAAATGACACCGAGAGATAATTTGATAAAGTTGTCTTGTGAACTTTTAGAAGACTAGATACCTTCAATAACCCTATGAAACTACCGGACAACCAGAGGAAAGTGAGAAAAAAAGATTACAACAATTTGTCTACAAGGCTGAACAACAACAGGAACCTCACTCCAACAGAATCCTTTCAACTGGAATTGAATCCTGGACTAGGAATTGCATGATAGGTCCCCCCATTGTTCGGTTTCAAGCAGTTGGGCCATCTTTAATCCACCTACCTGCTTTCCCTTTGATATTCGAGACCATGGCAATGGCTTGGGAACTTTTTTGTGGCTGCGACACGTTTATGAATAGGTTCCAGCCACCACCTGCTCCCGGCCTGTCTTCAAAGCTTTGTTAGCTTCTACCTTCTTCCTAGGTGGCGAGAAATCGGTGATCAAGATTTGTTGGAATTTCTAGCAATCCTGGTTAGAAAGGCTTCTTGATTCAAGAAGATGGAAGTCAAACGTCTTAGCTCAAAACTACCATTACTTCAACTTTGCTACTGTCTTTTGCCTTGTCTCTATATTCAAGATGTGCTGGAATTCCCAGCAACTTGCAGTGAAATTCTGGAGAAAGGATTGGTAGATCACAACTGATTAATGTTGTATATGCTAAGTCATGGAAGGCTTAAAGCTTTAGGATTATAAAGATTGTGTGATGAGGACATCAAGACATGGAAAATTTATTAGAGGCGTGACCAGTGATCTACGACCATGATTACACAACTCTACTTTTGATTTTCATATTTATTATTGATGTATTAGTTTTATTTGCAAGTACACCAACAAGTATATAAGTGCATTGGAAAGTTAACGAATGGACTAGTTGGTAGGTGAGTTCGCTCAAGTGAGTGGCCGAGTGCACATAAATGGTTGGGAGAATTTGCTTGTAGTTAGAAGGCAAATTCGCTGGAGATGACCGCAAGTTTGCATGGGCAAGTGCATCTGTGCAAGCGGGTATCTTAACTGGCAAGCAATCAACTATGCACAAATGAGTAGGTAAGCACGCTTGGGCGAGTGAGTTCACATAGATGAGTAGGTGATTGTACAATGGTGAGTGTGATGACGAGTAAGCAACTTTGCCTCATGTGGTTACTTACATGGTTAAGTCAATTCCTTTGCCTGGGCCCCGGGGGGGAGCTTAGGCAGATAGCCAACAGTGCACAAGGATGAGTAGAAGTGACTTCACTTCTTGATTGTTGCCTAGCCTTCATGTTGATACTTTCATGAACTTAGATCATTGGTGGGTTGATCTACAACTATGTCCCAATACTTCTATCAAATTGATTATATTCATGTTTCTCTCTGACAACAAATAAGAAACTACTACAGTACTACACTTCTTGAGCAGATTGAACATTTCTTGATAACTAACCACTGTGACTTTCCCTGCTGTTTCAGTGCCGTTGGAGACACTTGTGTGGCGATGGATGAATGGGTGAGCCACCCCAAAGAACACACTGCTCTTGATGACATTCTTCCCTGCGTGAATGCAGCCACCGCAAATCAATCCTTGTACAGCAGCCGTCAAGTAACCTTCAAGCTGGCTGACATGGTCAATAATGTCATCAATGGGGTCTCCAATCCTACAAACCCATCCATCTCCTTCAACCAGTCTGGGCCTTTGATGCCAACACTTTGCAATCCATTCAACCAAGACCTGAGCAATCGCTCTTGTGCTGCTGGTGAGGTGGTCTTGACTAATGCATCGCAGGTATGTTTGGTGATGGAATAAATTTTATTTTAACAAGCATGTTGATGATTGTTTTCATAAATAAAGGTGTTTTTTATGTGATTTAAGACTTCAAAATAGTTCACCGACTATTTGTATATGACCAATTTAGTTCTGGAGTATCACATTGTTCCAATTTGGTCTCTCTCGACCATACAAAATTGATTCAAAATTGTCTCTTTGGGACTATATTGGGATCAAGTTTATATATTCGTGGGATTACATCATCATCAATTTTATATCAAAATTATAATACTAGGGGTCATTTTGGATCAATTTTGTATAGTCGAGGGGCTAAATTGGAACAATGTGATGTTCTAAGGATTATTTTCATATTTTTCCGTTTAAATAAATATAAAGAGTTTAGTATTAAATATGTAAATACAGAAGAATGTAGGGATATGTATTTAAATCTTCGCATTATTTTTCATGAGGGATTTACGCACACATCACTAATTTTTTATTTATTCACATATTTAACATCTAAATCCTTATATTTACTTATATAACATCATAATCTTCAAATCATATCAACAATATCATTAACACTAACTTTTTAAAAGTGAATTATATATTTTCATGTATATATTTTGTAAATATTTAGATATTAGATAGAGAAATCTATAAAAATTCAGGGACATGTATGCAAATCTTCTTTTTTTTGTTGGATTTGAAAGCTTATCATATCTTTTTGGCAAGCTAAGTCTCAATTTCACATGAACTACTATTCATTGCCTGCCTGTGTTATTATTCATCATATTTCCATTGCTCCTTATCTTCTGGCATCATAAAGCTGTCCAGAACTGCTTTACCACCAGCAGATTTTTGACTGAAAACAGCTTCCTCACGTTAAAGTAATCTAAATATGCCTGATAAACTGCGACTGAACAAAAATTAAGTTGAAAACTAAAAAAGAAAAAGATCAAGCATTAAGGGTTTGTTTAGGACAACTTTTTTACTACTTCTTGAAGCAGCTTTTAAGTACAAAAATTTTAATTTTTATACTAAAAAACTGCTTCAAGAAGCAATAAAAAAGCCATCCCAAATAAAGCCTAAGTTTATAATCAAAGCTGCAGCGTAACTGCATACTTTTGAATACAGGTGTGGAGGAAATATGAATGCAATGTCACCATTGTCAATGGGGCTGAGATCTGTAAAACTGTGGGCCGTGTAACTCCAACTCTCTACGATCAGATGAATTCTGCTGTAAGTGTGGCTTATGCTTTATACCATTATTCTCCTTTCCTTGTTCAGCTCGAGGACTGCTCGTTTGCTAGAGAGGCATTTAGGTCCGTAAGCCATGAAAACTGCCCAAGTCTCAGAAAATACACAAACTGGGTCTTCATTGGCCTTACGCTCGTTTCAGCTGCTGTGATGTTGTCGATCATTTTCTGGGTCATCTACGCTCGTGAAAGACGGCATCGTATGTATAACAAGCAACAGATTTTTTATGAGGGACGAGATCCAGTGGCAGGCAAGCCTTGATGAGGGAAAATTATTAGCTGCAAGCACCGAACGTAGAGATACGTCCGGACATCCACTTAAAATTTGACACGTGGAGTGGACACGTTTGATTTATTTTTTTACTTTATATATTTAATGTGTATGAGAAACTTTAAGCCAAGCATAGCCAAAACCCAGTAAAAAGCACAACAAAAGAACAGTCAAAGCGCAGTAACAAAGTGCAACAAAAGAGCAGTCAAAGCACAACTAAAGTGCAGATAAAACGCACAAAAAGTGCAACCAAAGTGTACTTCACGTGTCAAATTTTAAGTTGATGTTTGGATTTTGCACCTAATTATTTTCAACAAGTCTGGTCATGTTGTGCAGTTATGTTATTGTAAAGAATTATTTTTTATGGTGTGTTTGTTGGGTTTTTTTTTAATGTATTAAAGGTTTTTTAAGGGTTTGTGTTGTAAGCATTTTGGCGATTACAGAATGGCTTAGATAGGAATTATGTACTGATGCTTATTGAATTTTTGTTTGGGGGTAGAATTGTTCAGCTGATTTTTTTCTCTTCATAGCTTTGACTCCCTTCATGTACACGAGTAGGGAAATCAGTTATTAATGCATTAAATTGCAATCGTTTAGATGAAAAAGAAGATATTAATAGTAAATATGTACTTGATAAAAAATTTATGCACATGCCCATAAGATTACCCTTATTTTCCTAAGCTTTTATAGATCAGTCTTTGACCTTGAGTCTCATCATATTCTTATAAAGAATTTGATGTTTCAAACTGGCTGCTCAGTAATAAAAAGTAGTTTCTGCCTTTTAGTGAACTCACATTCATCTTGCAAATATTTTATATAAGTGTAGAATTAGACTTCATGTAAGAACATTGCTTTTTTGTTTAAATGTATCTCATTTGTTGAGATTTGTATGTCAAAATTCAAATTTTAAAATAAATTAAGGGATACACAATAGAAACTAGATTTGAGTCCAATATAATTGTTACTGAAATTATAGATATTAATTATTTAGTTGTAATGAATGCTCAACCAAAGTATTTAACTTAAAGAAATATTTCTTCTATTTTTCTACATTTGAAAGATTCTATAGTTCCCTATAACAATGAGAAGAAGAGCTTCTTCTCGAAACGGTATATATCCTTGAGTAATAGAACCATTTCTTTGAACATGAAACCTTCATGAATTTTTTCAATTTAAATCTACATTAAGTGAGACAATAGTGACTAGCTAAATTTTTTGTATTGTAAATTTTCTTTATTTACATGCAAAATATCCATATGCTTTATGCAAAGGAGTTGACATGACAAAGATAAATCTTTTTTCATTGAAATCCTTGATTGCTATTAAAATAATAATTGGGCTAAAATATATTAATATTGCCTTACAAAGATTGGTTTATGTATTTCCTCACACAACACTTTTTCTAAAAAAAAATTCAAGTAATTTTGGGAGTATTCTCTCATTCTTTTTATATAAACTTTATTTTTTTTCAATTTCAGGTAGTTTTCATTTTTTATGGGATCTAACATTATTAATATCTTTTCTTTCTAACATTATTAATATATTTTCTTCAAAACAAATATAAAAGAGGTAAGTACATATTTAAATAAAAAAACTGCACAATATTACTTAATAAATTGTCCAATTAATCTTAAAAATAGACTTATAATCCAAAAATATTAATATTACATGCTTATAAGAAATGATTAAGATATTCAATTTATGAAATTGACGGTGTAAACCATATTGATGGATGCCAATTAGTCCGTGAATGAGGGTGAAGGATATATTGAATGCGATCATTATAAACATCAAAAAGTCCAACATCACAATCGACATAACCAGGAAACATGTTGCTCGAATAATCGGCGAAATATATGCAGTTTGGTTTAATTCCAGTAGCAACCGTGTGATGCAAAGAAAATGTCTGATTACAACCCACAAAAAGGGAGTATTGCCCCAGCTCATTGACGGGGATCCATTGAGAGTAAGAAGAAGAAGAAGTAGTAGCAACAGCTGGCACAAACTTGAAAACAAAGATAGCTATCGTTCTCGCGTTATGGTGACTATCAAGAGTAATATCAATCACCCTCTCTATTCTTAGAAGAGTTCCTGACAAAACGGCAATATAGTATATATAATTGAAGTTTCTGGTGCGATAGTATGAGTTGGGCATATTTGGGCAGATCAATTCAACATTTTGTCCATTGAGGTCAAAGGCAAGCACCATAGAAAAATTTGTGATGGCGTAAAATCTTTGGTTTTGTTCATGATAGAAAACATCCTCAAACTCCTCGTCGTCCTCCATGTTGTAAGGAGATAATTTTGGCCCGAGAACCCAAGTCAGATTTTCTGACCTTGCCAAAGCAATCACTTTTCTAATGCCAAAGATAACAACAATAGTTCTAGAGGAGTCTTTAGAGGAGACAATGATCTTATGAAAAAATATATCAAAGAAGTCATTAGTAGTAAAGTCAACCAAAATTTCATTAAAATAACGCCTGATGGAGCTGTCAGGGGTATATTGTGACTCGATCAAGGATAAAAGGGATGGGAGCGATATTTCAGCCTTTGTGACAGGGTTGAAGAGGCGAGGTTGTAGATTTGTTTTGTCAAGGGTCACAAGCCATCCATCATTAGAGCCAAAAAAGCGACGGCAATAGGTGTGGCTACCGATGGAGGAGAAGCGATGATGGAAGCTGATGACAGGTTCTTCTCCTTCTATGGTAAGTTCATGGAAGGTGAGTGTGTCGGAGGCCTCTCCGACATCATTGGAAAGGAGCAACCATGGGGAGGGACGACATTGAAATCCAAGGAGTGCATAGTTGTCAAGGGTGAAACTCCATGAGGTGCAGACAACCGATAATCGGACTAAGTCTACAATGGACAAGTGTGATGAGATGCAACATAGGAGATCTATGGGGAGATCAGACCATGCCATAATATTATTATTTTTGTGGTGGCCAATTGAGGAAAGGAGCTACGGTACCTTCCAACACTACCACGCTCAGACAAAAAATAATAAGAGTTGGAATCAAATATGCAATCTTTGTTAGAGATATAAATATGTGAAATATAATAAGTATTTGTGGCAAATATTCAAGTGCATTAATTTTTCTTCTCATTTGTGGCTAATGAATTTGGCCAACTAGCATTATCCATAAAAAGAATAGGGTGCAAAATTCATGTAGTAAAAATTAAATTTATTATTTATTTTAAATTAAAAATTATCTTTTATTGCATGCAGTTTATTAAGAGATCAACAAGACTATTTATTTCAAAATTTGGCATTATTTTAAAAGGTATCGAAACGATTATTCTTAAATATATAAATGAGTGAAAGATGAGAAAATATATATTATACGTGTTACCGCAAACAAAGGTATTTATTAACAATAGTTATATTATTTTATTTTACAAAATGAAGTTGGTGTCTTAATGGCTCTTTCATTAGGTTAGAAATAGTTTGTTTATATTAATATTATAAATTAATAAAATTTCAGATCAATTTAGTTCATATACTAAAAAATAAATATCATGTACATGAAATTTTCTTATTTTAGTAATATGGAAATCATTCATTTATTCTTATTAAAAGAGATCCCATTGATGGAAGGAATACTGAAATAAAAAAAGGTAAGTAGTTCATCATCGCCAATTAATTGATAGACAAAATATTAAAGTAAAAAAATGCATGTATGGTGCATGCATTTGCCTTTGTTTGAAAGTAATAAAAAAGATTGGAAAAGAAATCTCATTTGTCTTTTCCACCCTTCTCCTTCCTCCCTTCTCGCCATTAGAGTCTAGACAGCTTTTTCTCTGTTAGGCTCTCTATCAGTCTTAGGGAGAAAGATGGAGGAGGCATTCATGATTGGTCTGTTAGATGCTTTATAAAATCCCAAGAGGATCAAGCACAGGGGAGGACCCAACAAATTTATAACTGTTGTTGTTGCTTCTAATTTATCTCGACAATTCACTACAATAAAATGGGTAAATAGTGATAAAAAATAGAGAGATAAAGAAAATTGTCGCTAAATAAGTGTGGACCTCCGAAGGAGCGCCGCTCGTGGGGTACGAACGCAGAGAGTACGGCCGCACTATCCTTGTGGGACAAAACGATCGCAGACCTCTACACTCGACACGAACAGGTCGATGGGAGGGCAGATTGGATCGTGCATACGACTAACCATTGGGGATAGAGGCTGTCGCCAACACACCCCGATGGGTAGCAATATATACGACCTAGTCACGGGTTTCCCCTACCCGATACGAGAGATCGAGTGGGGTAAAGTAGATTGCGGGGCCAAGTTTCCCACGGGCGCAAGCCCCCGTGGTTAATTACATCCCGGGCCGGAGCCCGAGAAAACTCTCGATTAAGGATCATACACTATCTTTTCCAAATTGGGATTAGAACGAGGGTATAGACTAGGAAATCCTACTCAAAGGAAAGAAAGGTCTCAAAGAGGTTCAATCAACATGCGTGGCTCATACCAGCATTCGGAGGCTCTAGGGTACTAGAGAGAAACTGGAGAAAGAAAGACAAGCAATCAATCACTTGCGTGAGAGAAAGATGGAGATGGCGTCATCCTGTGACGCAGATAAGTAGAATTTATGGTCCCTGGAAGGAAGGGACCTACCTACTATTTAAGGCATACTACGAGACCGAATGTAGTAGCCTCGAATCCTAAATCTAGGTTGGGCTTAGTGTCCTACGAAACACTAAGACCCGTGTCCTAGCTAATGCAGTGCAAAAACCTGGACTTATCCCGGCCTGGATTGGGGGAGCCAGCTAACCACCTAATCGATTCAAAACCATGCTGTCAAGTCAGTTATGAGAGATGGGTGGGTGGTACAGTTCTTGAAAATAGGACCGACATCTATAGAATTTCCTAAGTGGTCCTGAACTTATGTGGGTCAGATGCTCCTAGGTAATGCAATTTAAATTTTAATTAAATTTGTTTCTAATGCAATGCATGCTAGTTGAAATGTCAGCTCATGAATGCTATAGAACTTTAAAAACAAGCTTATAGAAACTAATTTTTTAAAAAGACTGGGTCTTCCTAGGTCCGACACTTCATCCTCATAGGCCAGATTATCCGGACTCAACCCGCAGGCAGGGAGATGTCTTATAGCAAGGAAAGAAGATGCAGTAATATGCATGCGACCCCGAACGATTCCGGCAATTCCCTAGGTTCGTTAAGTTTCTATATTATTTAGAACTTAAAATTTTAAGAATTAGTTATGAGTAGAAAAATTTTATAATCCTTAGAGAGCCTAACGAAAATCCAGGCGAAAACAAAAAAAAACGGCATGCAAGAAAGAAACCTAAGAAAAGCAGGCAATTTCTACTGCGCAATCAGGTAAACACATCAATATAAATCAAACTAATCAAGTAAATGTCCATAGGCCAACTGCCCTTTAATTACAACCCAGGGTATGCAGAAAAGTAAAGTGGCCGGGCACCACTGCCAACAACCCGGATTTCTAAGCCTATGACAGACGCAAATGACCTTGAGTGGGATATTG